ACTTGATACGAGGATTGGGGATCTCGCCAAAGACAACGACAACGTCGACAGTGTGGAACAAGTTGCTCGGCTGGTGGAGGCTGTCGCTGATCTCGCCCCCGAATGCAACAGCCGCGGCGGTAATCGTGATGGACACGATAATGAACGACGCGGAGCTATCGCACATGACGACGACGACGGGGATTGGACACCAAAGCAACGAGCAATTGGACAAGATCGAACGAATGGTTCCGTAGCAACAAAGCAATGAACGTCAAAATTGCGATTTTGGCGACAATAACGGAACCCGAACAAATCAACTCGACAAGGGCATCTGGCAGGAATCAGGAATTCCGTCTCGAATTGACAGAAGTCGCGACCGGTCGAGGAATTCCTGCGCACGACTTTACGTTCAAAGAAATCTTCACAGGTTTCCCGTTTCTCGGCGTAGGAAGTTCGCAACAAAACGCGAAAGTAACACGTGCTGGAATCTCGACCGGTCGAGGAATTCCTCCTGCATTTTCGGAATTTACGGTGGAAGAACTCGTTACAATATTTACAAACTCCCGTTTCCTGTTTCTTCGTTTCGGAATGATCGTTTCGCGACGATTGGTGACAACAAAATCGCCATGACGTCGTGCCGTTAAGGAGGAAAGCGGCAGCTGAAAGGAAAGTCTTCGCCCCAAGTTGCCAGTTTTTTCGTCTCAAATTTGACGCCAGATGGAAATGATAATTAGTCGAACGAGTCGAGGAAACGCTCGAGCGCACGACATTGCAACCGGAAGACGGTGGGGGAGCCAGATTAAACAGCAAATAATTCCTTTCTGTCCGGAGCGCCGACAAAAGCTTGCTCACGTAACGACGACGAGGACGAGTATCGTGGTCACGATGTTGGCAAATAGCAGAACAACGGCGGGACCTCGAGCCGTCCAGGGGGGAAGCGCCGGTCGAAGGGGAAGTATTTGCCCAAAGTTTCCAGTTTCTTCGTCTCGAATTTGACGACAGATGGAAATGAGTCGAACGAGTTGAGGAATTCACGTGCGCGACATTGCAACAGGAAAAACTGACCCGATTAAAACGCAAATAATTCCCCTTTTTCCAGCGTGTCGACAAAAGTTTGCCTACGTAATAACGGCGACGACGAGGACAAGTATCGTGGTCATGATGATGGCCAATAGGATGACAACAACGGCGGCAGGCATCGTGACAACGATGACGGCAAATCCTCGGGTTCAAAGACAAAACGTCCAACAGTCCTAATTCAAAGCTCCCTTTACCACGCACCCGCTTCGGCAATGGTGTCTCAGCCAGCTGCAGTTGCCCATCA